AAGACAACCTTGTCTGTATGTCCAGGAAGGCTTCCTTAGAAACTGTTATACTAACAAGACACCTATAATATAACCTCTAAATGGCTGCATTTGCTATTTTGAAAAACATAAATAAAAAAACAAATTAAAGATGAAAATGAATGCATTTGTGAGTTTCACCTGTTTCTGACCTTGTAATGCACTTATACATCTCTGACAGCGGAGGTTTCTGAGAGGAGAGCGTGTTTGCTGCACACTGTGCCCGAGCTGAGACCAACAGCTCCTGGTCTCTGGTTATGGGATCTAAAATATATGAATACATTCCTAATAAACCAGTGATGAGTGACACTAAAAATATATAAACAGAGAGCTTATATCAATTTAAGCAAAAAACAGCATACATATACAATAATACTCCAAAATGTTAATCAATAGTGATCCATATGATAAATAAATGTGAAAATGTGTTCAAAGTACACAAATACGATGCAATAGTTAGGGCTCATGTACACGGGGCGTTTGGAAAACTCTTCTGAACGATGGAAACTGACTGCTGGAAAACGTAGGTTAAAAAACGTCTGTTTAGCCGCGTTTGCATACACGAGTTTATGTGCGTTTGTGTTTAGAAGCGTTTTTTTAAGATAATCTCAGGTGACCTTCCCAAATGCCCAGAATGCACTGAAAAACAGTAAAAATTAACTATTTCAGACATTTTGAGAGAAATAGAGAGCGCAGAAGCAGAGAGAGCAGTATGTGTTGAGATACCTGTCTCCTGTCTTTTCTGGTTGTATTCACTATGGATCCTATCATGAGCATAACGCAGCGCGTTCTACCATTTTTTCCTTCACGCAAAACCTGGAACTGACTGCGCTGGTGTACCGGGTCCATTTGAATACATGGAAAACGCTTTGCATGCATTTCTGATGATGAAAAAGGCTCTGAACAGCATCTGGATATGGAACAGTTAAAAAATGCTTCTAAACGCAAACACTTATAAATGCATTTAGCCGCATTTACAAGCTTTTGGCGTTTGAAACGCTGATAAAAATATACTCCTAAATGCAAGTTTGGTGCGTTCAAAAAAATGACTGTAAACTCAACTGCCTGTAAAGGACTGTAAATGACGATGTGTACACGGACACATAGGAAAACATTAGGGAGAGTTCAGGGGCTGCTGAAAAATTTGCAATCATTAGTACTGAATGAATCAGTTTCATTCAGTCTTTTGTTGTGATTAGCTGTGATTGGGCAAAGCTCATTACCTGATACAGATGGGCTGTGATTGGCCCTGTCTGTACCATGTGACTGCTTTGACCAATCACAGCTAACAACACAATTGTATACAATGGATGGCATGGTAGGAAGCCATCCATTGTATACAATTGTCATGTGATCTGCTGTGATTGGTCACAGCGGTCATATGACATTGGCAGCAGGGCGGTGTAGTGATATGGCATCTACTGTGTCCCGTGGAGCTGCTTCTTCTGATAGGACGTCATATGACTCCCACTCAAAAGGAGGAGTGTCCAGCATGTCCGTCAATCTGCAATGGGTTGAGCGGGAAGGTATTAGAGAAACCATACCTTCCTTTCTTTGACTCCAAGTAAGAAAGGAGTGGAGAGCCCCTAGTGGTCTGGAGGAGAAGGAGGCATACCGAATTGGTGGAATCTGGATGGAACATCGTATTGATGCATTATGATATAAATCTGGAGGTGAGAGTTCTGTGAGCTCAGAGGTGGCACTTTTTGTGCGAAGTTAATAAGGAACACGTGTATCATTTTGGTGTTGGATAATTACGCACACAATGTGGACTTTATGAATTGCTACAATTATTAAGTTTATATCTGCACATACACTAGAAGTTTATATATATATTTGTTTATTTAAGCATGAATATTTAGCTATTTGTCTAATAAGGATTTATATACATTTCTTATATCACGTATATCAACTACTATCCACACCAGTACAGCGTCACTCAACACAGTATTTTCTTTCATTCAATGTGGTCGGTACACAGATCTGTCATCGGCTGTGTTCAATGGACATAGCCAGCGACAGATCTCTCTGTAGCACAGACCCGTGGGTGTGCCAAGGCGTGATCAGGGGAGGACGTCATATGATGTCAAGATCTCAATTGGGGAAATACTGTATCTCCTGCTGTATATCTATACTGATATGGACGGGGTAATGTGTTAGGAACATAAGGATGCCCCATCGTTTGATGAAAATGACAATTATCAACCTACAGAGGACTGAATTCAAAGACACCCCGAAAATCAAAGTGAAAAAACTATGCAGCAGGCTAGTCCAGTTTGCTGAAATGTCATTGCAGCAACTCAAAATGGTCCTCAGTAGTTTGTATGGCCCCAACGTGCTTGTATGTATGCCTGACAATGTCGGAACATGCTCCTAATGAGACAGCGGATGGTGTCCTGGGGGATTTCCTCCCAGATCTGGACCAGGGCATCACTGAGCTCCTGGACAGTCTGAGGTGCATCCTGATGGCGTTGGATGAAACATGATATCCCAGAGGTGTTCTATTGTATTTAGGTCAGGCGAGCTTGGGGGCCATTCAATGGTAACAATTCCTTCATCCTCCAGGAACTGCCTGCATACTCTCGCCACATGAGGCCGGGCATTGTCATGCACCAGGAGGAACCCAGGACCCACTACACCAGTGTAGGGTCTGACAATGGGTCCAAGGAGTTCATCTCAATACCTAATGGCAGTCAGGGTGCCATTGTCTAGCCTGTAGAGGTCTGTGAGTCCCTCCATGGATATGCCTCCCCAGATCAGCACTGACCCACCACCAAAATGGTCATGCTGAACCATGTTACAAAGGCAGCATAACATTCTCCACGGCTTCTCCAGACCCTTTCAGGTCTGTCACATGTGCTCAGGGTGAACCCGCTCTCATCTGTGAAAAGCACAGGGAGCCAGTGGCAGACCTGCCAATCCTGGTGCTCAATGGCAAATGTCAATCGAGCTCTATGGTGCCGGGCAGTGAGCACAGGGCCCACTAGAGGACGTCGGGCCCTCAGGCCACCCTCATGAAGTCTGTTTCTGATTGGTCAGAGACATTCACACCAGTGGCCTGCTGGAGGTCATTTTGTAGGGCTCTGGCAGTGCTCATCCTGTTCCTCCTTCCACAAAGGAGCAGATACCGGTCCTGCTGATGGGTTAAGGACCTTCTACAGCCCTGTCCAGCTCTCCTAGAGTAACTGTCTGTCTCCTGGAATCTCCTCCATGCTCTTGAGACTGTGCTGGGAGACACAGCAAACCTTCTAGCAATGGCATGTATTGATCCATCCTGGAGGAGTTGGACTGCCTGTGCAACCTCTGTAGGGTCCAGGTATAGCCTCATGCTACCAGTAGTGACACTGACCCTAGCCAAATGCAAAACTAGTGAAAAACAGTCAGAAAAGATGAGTAGGGAAAAAAAAAAATGTAAAACCATTCTTGTTTTGGGGGTTGTCTCATTGTTGCCCATCTAGTGCCCCTGTTGCTAATTTCATTAATGCCAAAGCAGCTGAAACTGATTAACAACCCCCTCTCCTGCTTAACTGACCAGATCAATATCCTGGGAATTTCATTGACTTTATGCTATACTCTAATTAAAAAGTGTTCCTTTAATTTTTTTGAGCAGTGTACATTAATTTGAATAGCACAATCACCAGTTTAAGGTAGCGCAGGAGTATTCACTATTTAATACAGAACTGTGATTGTTTTACCAGTGTGGCGCAGTCCCGCTGGGCTGTGTGTATATTTGGTCTGTTTCTGCAATACAAATCTTGTTATTTGCAACCACGCTGCACCTACCCACAAGCCCACATCCTGCTGGTGGGTCACAGCTTTTTGTTAGTTCACATCTTCTGATTTATGAGCAGCACAGTCGCTAAATGGTTAGCACTTCCGCCTGGCAGTACTAGGATTGTTGGTTCAAATCCCAGCCACTGCACCTCCTGCCTGGAGTTTGCATGTTTCTCCCTGTGCCTGTGTTGGTTTCCTCCCACACTCCAAAGTCATGCTGGTAGTTAATTGGATCCTCTCTAAATTGTCCCTTGTGTATGTATGAATGTGAATTAGGGACCTTAGATTGTACGCCCCTTGAGGGTTAGGGACTGATGTGAATGTACAATATATATGTAAAGCGCTGTGTAAAATTGATGGCGCTATATAAGTACCTGAAATAAATAAATGTTATATTGCATATAGCATAGGGATTGACAGTGGCTGTAATACCAGTCTGTGCCCACTAGATAGTGCTCTGTATTGTTCCTATGCACACAAAATGATGCATACTGTATGGGAACAATGTTTCTAATACAATCTAAAAAGATAGATAGATAGATAGATAGATAGATAGATAGATAGATAGATAGATAGATAGATAGATAGATAGATAGATAGATAGATAGATAGATAGAAAGATTAGATAGATAGATAGATAGATAAAAGATAGATAGATAGATAGATAGATAGATAGATAGATAGATAGATAGATATAGGGATGGATGATAGATAGATAGATAGATAGATAGATAGATAGATAGATAGATAGATTGATTGATTGATTTGTTTTTTATTTTTTTAGATTATAAAAATGCACAGAAATAAAAGCACAAACTTTCTTTGCATATCTATTTCACTAGTCAAACAGCACACACTCTCAAATACTCAAGGGTATAAATGACAGGTCAAATATACAAATCAAATCAAATCTGCCTTCAGGAGTCATGCTTGTAACGGTCCGCCTTGCAATGCCTCATGGGACTTGTAGTTTGGCAACAGCTGGAGGGCCGCCATTTTGACACCCGTGGTGTATACTAAGGGAGTCTGCTTGGTAAGTATACACACTTTTGGGGTATTTCAGGTAACCTACAATTAATGCTTAGTAGGTAGCTGTTGAAATAAAAGGGTTCATAATAAAATGGAAAAATGCAATTCTACCACTTTATGTTTTGGCATGCATGTGATTTCAGTAGATGAAAACAAGATTTATTGTAGTTAAACGGGACCAGGGGTGGACTCCCAACTCATGGGCCCCCAGGCAATAGGGGATCATGGGGCCCCTGTGTCCTTGCCCAAGCTCAAAAAAGCCTATGAAAAAGGTACCAGGGGCATCTCATGGGGCCCCCTACTGACCCCGGGCCCTCGGGCAGTGCCTGAGTTTCCAGATGGTCAGTCCGCCCCTGAATGGGACTATATTAATTCACTTAGAATACATATTTATGACCTCTGTATGGGCAACTGAGTTAAAAAGTAAACCTACCATGTCATATTTCGGATATATGTTCCTGCTGCACAATATACTTGTGTTAAATAGTCTCCTGTTCTCTTTGTGTTTCTTCCTTTGTGTAAAATTACTGGTGTTCCTGCAGTCCCTCTGCATTCCTATTAAAACCTGACCACACTAGGCATGAGAGCACAGCGTGGTCAGTTCTCTAGCTGTGCTGGGAACTCAACCTGTTATCCTCCAATGATCAGACGTCTGCTGATTTGCCTCTCCCCCCCCCCCCCCCCCCCCCACACAGCTTTTTCACTGGGAAGATCAGTATACAGCTGCTTTTTTTCTCCCCCCCAGCTCTCAGTATGCAGCTACATAGGGAGCTTAGAGGGTATGTGATTGCTTATAAAAGGGTATTTATAATGTGTTTTATATGTATGCACAAATGTTTTGCCTTTCATTTCTATTTTTAACTGAATTGGTTGTATCAAAGTAAAAGTTGCAAGAACAATAATTAAAAAGGCTACAAAAAGAAACAGACTTTTAATGAGTTATGGTTTGCACAAATATGTGTTCAATGAATGTCTTACACTGACAGCTGGTGTAAAAAAGAATTTTACTGTATATACAGTGGGGAAAAAAAGTATTTAGTCAGCCACCAATTGTGCAAGTTCTCCCACCTAAAAAGATGAGAGAGGCCTGTAATTGGCATCATAGGTAGACCTCAACTATGAGAGACAAAATGAGAAAACAAATCCAGACAATCACATTGGCTGATTTGGAAAGAATTTACTTGCAAATTATGGTGGAAAATAAGTATTTGATCAATATCAAAAGTTCATCTCAATACTTTGTTATATATCCTTTGTTGGCAATGACAGAGGTCAAATGTTTCCTGTAAGTCTTCACAAGGTTGGCACACACTGTTGCTGGTATGTTGGCTCATCCTCCATGCAGATCTCCTCTAGAGCAGTGATGTTTTGGGGCTGTCGCTGGGCAACACGCACTTTCAACTCCCTCCAAAGGTTTTTCTATGGGGTTGAGATCTGGAGACTGGCTAGGCCACTCCAGGACCTTGAAATGCTTCTTATGAAGCCACTCCTTCGTTGCCCGGGCGGTATGTTTGGGATCATTGTCATGTTGGAAGACCCAGCCACGTTTCATCTTCAATGCCCTTGCTGATGGAAGGAGGTTTTCACTCAAAAGCTCACAATACATGGCCCCATTCATTCTGTCCTGTACATGGATCAGTCGTCCTGGTCCCTTTGCGGAGAAACAGCCCCAAAGCATGATGTTGCCACCCCCATGCTTCACAGTAGGTATGGTGTTCTTTGAATGCAACTCAGCATTCTCTCTCCTCCAAACACGACGAGTTGTGTTTGTACCAAACAGTTCTATTTTGGTTTCATCTGACCATATGACATTCTCCCAATCCTCTTCTGGATCATCCAAATGCTCTCTAGCAAACTTCAGACGGCCCGGACATGTACAGGCTTAAGCAGGGGAAACGTCTGGCACTGCAGGATCTGAGTCCCTGGCGGCGTAGTGTGTTACTGATGGTAGCCTTTGTTACGTTGGTCCCAGCTCTCTGCAGGTCATTCACTAGGTCCTCTCGTGTGGTTTTTTGCTCACCATTCTTGTGATCATTTTGACCCCACGGGGAGAGATCTTGCGTGGAGCCCCAGATCGAGGGAGATTATCAGTGGTCTTGTATGTCTTCCATTTTCTAATTATTGCTCCCACAGTTGATTTGTTCACACCAATCTGCTTGCCTATTGCAGATTCAGTCTTCCCAGCCTGGTGCAGGTCTACAATTTTGTTTCTGGTGTCCTCTGACAGCTCTTTGGTCTTCACCATAGTGGAGTTTGGAGTGTGACTGTTTGAGGTTGTGGACAGGTGTCTTTTATACTGATAACAAGTTCAAACAGGTGCCATTGATACAGGTAATGAGTGCAGGACAGAGGAGCCTCTTAAAGAAGAAGGTACAGGTCTGTGAGAGCCAGAAATCTTGCTTGTTTGTAGGTGACCAAATACTTATTTTCCACCATAATTTTCAAATAAATTCTTTCCAAATCAGCCAATGTGATTGTCTGGATTTTTTTTCTCATTTTGTCTCTCATAGTTGAGGTCTACCTATGATGCCAATTACAGGCCTCTCTCATCTTTGTAAGTGGGAGAACTTGCACAATTGGTGGCTGACTAAATACTCTTTTGCCCCACTGTATGTTGCAATGGCTACCGGAAACACATTTAAGAGTCCAAGCTTGTTGAGTGTCCTTTTTGCTCTTGAATATTCTAATTACAGTTGTGTGTTGAATATTTTTTTTCATCATGCTTATTTAACCACTTGCCCTCCAGAGGATTTCCCCCTTCCTGACCAGGAGATCTCCGTGATTGCTGTGTCCTATGGACACAGCTGATCACGTGATGTGGTAAAAGACCAATAACAGCGGCCTTTTACCAAGTGATCAGCCATGTCCAATGACACAGCAGATCTATGGTAAATGCAGTTGCCGGTTATCGGCTGCACTTTCCTCACGCTGTCACAGCATGAGGAAAGTATTGCCGATAACCAGCAATTGTCAGAGGAAAGACACTGATGATCAGTACCCAGCAGTGCTGCCCACCTGTGCCCATCAGTGCCACCCACCTGTGCCCATCAGTGCCTAGCAGTGCCACCCATCTGTGTCTAGTAGTACCACCTACCAGTGCCACCCACCAGTGCCCATCAGTGCTGCCCAGCAATGGCACCCATCAGTGCCCAGCGGTGCCGCCAGTCAGTGCCCAGCAGTGCCGCCAGTCAGTGCCATCAGTCAGTGCCTATCAGTGCCGCCTATCAGTGCCCATCAGTGCTGCCTATCCGTGCCACCTCATCAGTGCCGCTTATCAGTGCCCATCAGTGCAGCCTATCAGTGCCTATCAGTGCGGCCTATCAGTGCAGCCTCATTAATGCACATCAGTGAAGGAGAGAAATTACCTGTTTGCAAAATTTTGTAATACAAACAAAAAAAACTTTTTTTTTTCTAAATTTTTGCTCTTTTTTTGTTTTTTTAGCACAAAAAATAAAGCACCTAGAGACAATTAAATACCACCAAAAGAAAGCTCTATTAGTGTAAAAAAAATGATAAAAATTTCATATGGGTACAGTGTTGCATGACCGCGTAATTGTCATTCAAAGTGCGACAGCACTGAAAGCTGAAAATTGGCTTCAGCGGGAAGGGGGTATACAGTAAGTGCCCGGCAGGCGAGGGGTTAAATTAAATTCTATCTTCAACTGATTATAAATCTTTTTAATACATTTTAATGACATATTTTGCATTCCAATACTTGTGTTATAGGAACATAAACTTGTTTTCTACTACTGGGGCATAAAAAGTTTTTCGGAAACATTTACTGGGCCTGGTATCATTAAGGTTAGAACCACTGGTGTAGACTTTATAAACGTCATACACAATATTTTATATTTACTTGACATATAAAACACTATATTTATGGAAATGCTATTTAGTCCATATAAATATATATAGAAAACCGCAACACATTTGTTTTATTTTAGGAATGAAAAAAAAAAATTGAGATCCCGGCAAACAAGAGTTTACACTCTAAAGAAACGGATGCATAAAGGGAAAGTATGTAAGAATCTTTCTATGTGTAGATACAGAGAAAGTACACTATATGAGACAATAAATTTTTTGGAGGAAATGCTGCTGTTGGTTACTCCTACGCCTGCATCTCATTATTGGCAGAACGTACCAGGAAGCTGTGTGATAAAGACAGAGTGCAATGTTCCAGAAAAGTATGTGGTTAACAATTAATATTTCACTCACTTCTCCCAAGTAGCGAGTCTAGTCAGTCAATGTAACGTTCCATGAAGACAGGACTTACAAAGCACAGAAAAATACTTCAAGAGAACGTCTCAGTCCAAAGTTCTTAAATATCGGCACCATCACCAGCATATAAAGGGAAAACAACAAAATCATCAGAAATGGGTTTGCTGATCCCCTGTGTTCTTCTTCTGGTACTTTCAGGTAAGATGTATTGATATTTAATATTCTTTAATTGGACTGCGTTATATTCACAACCTGGACCAGGGGCAGACTGACCATTTGGAAACTCGGGCACTGCCCGAGGGCCCGGGGTCTGTAGGGGGCCCCATGAGATGCCCCTGGTACCTTTTTCATAGGCTTTTTTGAGTTAGGGCAAGGACTCAGGGGCCCCATAAACCCCTATTGCCCGGGGGGCCCATGAGTTGTCAGTCCGCCCCTGACCTGGACTAAACAAGTGAGAAACCATTTCACCAGCTAAAAATCATAACAGAACAGGGCAGCAACGGGCTTACTCATTAGAGCGTAGTTTGTATTGCAGTTGGGTTTTTTTGATGGTGTTACTTAAAATACCTTTTTTGTATATTTTTGTATATTTATGTTTGTTATTCTCATCAAGCATATCCAAATCAGAGAGTATTCTAATTTAATCATGCCATATGTTTAGAAAAAAAATATTCGTAAAGTAAAATATAATTTTTAGGAATTTAATTTAGGTTTTTTTAAGTAATATTAATGTATTGTTGAATGTATAATTTTATTATAATTTGATTTAATAGCTTGTAATTCCTGTTTATCACAACTGGAAAAACTATTTAAAATAGGTAAAGTAAGCAAAAGGGTTTGCTGGACAAGCTTGAAATGAATGACCATATCGACTCCCTAGGGATAGTAGTAAGTAGTAGGTATAAGCTTTGAGTTCCTTGGTACCAGGAGAGGTTTTTAAAAGCAGAAAGCACAGCATTGAGATATGGCCAGCAGGCTTTCAAGGGCCAAACAGGGGGCTTTTAAGACAGCCCTCTCACCTTTCAAAGGGGAGTACAGAGAAGCAAGGTGTCAGTAAATTAGAAGCTGCTGTAGGGAAAGAAAGAGGTAAGCTGCCATCTTGTTCTTGGGTAGAGTTTGTGTGTGTGTATATATATAT